AGGCCCACTCACTGCCACCTCCCTCCTCTCCTGGAAGCTCTGAGGCAGCCACATCCAGACCCCACGCCATGCATTAGCTCCTTCCTCTACACCAGTCCTGAAGACGACCAACACTGCCTTAACAACAACGACTGCCATCAAGAACGCTCACCCTAGCCAATTCCTTTCCATATGTAACTTCATCCAGTCCTCTCCTAAATCCCATGGTGAGAGTATTACCACCTACTTTACAGATGGGAAGACTGAGGTTCAGGAGCTAGGTAACCAGCCTGAGGTCTTGAAGGCTCTGACCTGGAGCTTCTGCTCTTGAACCACCCTGTTCTGACTCTCCAGGTCCTTCTCCTTCCTGCTCTGGACTGGATACCATGCTATAGCCAGGTGCCATTCTGACTGTGCCCTCGTCCCAAACTAACCACCTATCCCTGGGGCGTAGAGCCCAAGGACTTGGCTGGCTCCCAGTGCCAAAAGTCTCTTTTTTTTTTTTCTTGTTTTTGGACAGGGTCTCTGTCACCCAGGCTGGATTTCAGTGGCGCAATCACAGCTCACTGCACCATTGACCTCTTGAACTCAAGTCATCCTCACTCTTCAGCCTCCCGAGTAGCTGGGACTACAGGCTTATGCTACCACACCTGGCTAATTTTTCTATTTTTTTTAGAGACATGGTTTCACTTTGCCCATGCTGGTCTTGAACTCCTGGGCACGGGTGATCTGCCCACCTTGGCCTGACAAAGTGCTGGGGTAACAGGCATGAACCATGGCACCCAGCCCAAAAGTCTTAATTTAACCATTGTCTCTTTAAGAATAACTAGCCAGCCAGATGTGGTGGCTCACGCCAATAACCCCAGCACTTTGGGAGGCTGAGGCGGGCAGATCTCATCTGAGGTCAGGAGTTTGAGACCGGCCTAGCCAGCAGGGTGAAACCCTGTCTCTACTAAAAATACAAACACTTTTAGCCAGGTGTGGTGGCAGGCGCTCGCAATCCTAGATACTCAGGAGGCTGAGGCAGGAGAATTGCTGGAACCCAGGAGGCGGAGGTTGCAGTGAGCCGAGATCATGCCACTGCACTCCAGCCTGGGCGACAGAGGGAGATTCCATCTAAAACAATAAGAAGTAACCAAACTATCATTCATGATGAACTCCCTGTGTGTTCAGTTTCCAGTTACCATGTTTCCCACCCTCACATCAAAGCCACCACTTCCTCCACTGTCCACAGACTGGCAAAAGTTTCTCCTCTTACCCTGGGCCAGCAGATCAGCTTCTACAGAACCATAGCCAGTCCAATACCTCACTTCACAGGCTCCACCCTAGCAGGGCTGACGGACTTCTCCAGCACGAAATGGACTCAACACTGCCCTGCCTCTCCCAAACAACTTCCACCTTCCCAGCCCTATGGCTCCAATATACTCCTTTCAGCTCCAACACCAACCTGACCCTCTCCAGTGGGCTTGCTCCCTCTCCCAACACCTCAAGTGGTCAAACTTCTTCAGTTCTCTCACCTGCTAATAGACAGCAACTCTAGTTCCTGACTTGATAACATCCCCTCATTCTTTTTTTTTCTTTGAGGCAGAGTTTTGCTCTTGTCACCCAGGCTGAAGTGCAATGTTGTGATAGCTCGCAGCAACCCCCGCCTCCCAGGTTTAAGCCATTCTCCCTGCCTCAGCCTCCCAAGTAGCTTGGATTACAGGGCACACCATCATGCCCGGGCAATTTTTATATTTTGAGTAGAGACAGGGTTTCCCCACGCTGGCCAGGCTGCTTTCGAACTCCTGACCTCAAGTGATCAACCTGCCTTGGCCTCCCAAAGTGCTAGGATTATGAGCATGCGCCAATGTGTCCAGCCATCCAATTTTTTCTCAGGAAGGAACAAGAAGACACTTCCACAGCCATGCCCCCAACATCCTCTGCTCCTGAACGACTGACAGCCTTCCTTCTGCCGCGTTGGCTTTTCTTAACACCACACTGCAGCTGGAGGCAGTGGTTCACGTCTGTAATCTCAACATTCTGGGAGGCCAAGGCAGGAGGCTCGCTTGAATCCAGAAGTTCGAGACCAGCCTGGGCAACATAATGAGATATCGTCACAATTAGAAGAAAAAACGACACTGCCTCTGACTCCCTTACCTAACCACAAATTGACCACCAGCCCTGCTCCTCTTCTGGGAGCTTACCTTGACTCCCTTTTTACCAAGTCCTCCGCAGGCACAATCCGGGTTTATATTCTTCCTCTTTCCAGCCAAGAAAGGGACCAACATGATCACTCCTTGCCCCGAGGCTTGCAGACCAGCAACTTAACCTCTTTTTAGCCTCAGAGACCCAGCAAACTCTTACAACTGCCCTTTCACGGCCAACGTTGACCTGCTCCTCCTCCCTTGACCGCTCTTTCCTTTTCTGGTAGAACTACGAACGCAAAGGCTGCCACCCTCCCCATCTGACAAACCACCAAACTTTATTTAATGTTCATCGTTTGAAACCCTAAAACGATCACCTCCTTTGTCTCGGGAGGGTGGGGTGCGGCAGAAACCAGATACTTTTCACCTTCCCAACTCCATGGCCACCCCCTCTTTAACAGCCTCCGACTCTAAACTGACGACTGTCCCCTTAATTAGCCATTACGTGCAATCTAATGAACGCCACCTCTGAGCCGGGCCCTGCACCGATCCCTCCCGACTCCCGGGTCCCCCTCGAGCCCGCCCCCGTTTCTCCCGCAGTAGCTACCATGTCTCCAGGGGTCTTTGGGCTCCACTGCTCCAGACACGATATCCTCGTCGGACGGGAACGTGACGCGCTTGGCTGCAGCCTTGAGGCGCCCATCCGCGGGAGGCGAAGCGGGGCTGGGAGACCCGGCCTCGGCGGGGGCCTCTTCAACGTCGTCGTCTGCGCCCGGCCCGGGCGGCGCCTCCTGCGGCGGAATCTCCATAGCCACCGCCGCCTCCTCACGGGGGCCCCGGGGACATGCCCCGGGCCCCGGACTTGTCTCTCCCGGCCCGCCCGCCGTCCCGGGGCATGGGCTCCGCCGCTGCTTCAGGCGCCGCCTCCGTCCGCTCTCCTCGTCGTCGTTGTCGTCGCCGCCGGGAGCCCAAGCGCGCCTCCGCTGAGCCCCGCGCGCGCCTGCCCGTTCGCAGTCACACTTTCGCTCGAGGCTGGCGAGCCCGTCTCTTACTAAAAGACGCAGAAAACCGATTTAAGCGACTTGCAGGTAGAGTTGTCCCGCGGGTGACATGAAGAGGGAAACAAAAGGCAGAAAGGGCCACGGAAAAAAGAAACGTGAGCAGCGAATCTGCAGAGCCGGAACTGCAGACTATGGGGGGCGGGGCGAAGTAGACGCCGTCTCCAAGAGCAGCGCGCAAGCGCGAAGCTGAGCCCACGCCTCCCCGCCTGAGTCCAGATAACGAATATCAGCTCCGGCACATTCGTCAAGAGCCCAGGGAATGGAGTGGATAGAAATGAAAACATCTGACGGTGCGCGGCTGCTCATGCCTATAATCCCAGCACTTTGGGAGGCTGAGGCAGGAAGATCGCTTGAGTCCCAGAGTTCGAGACCAGCCTGGGCAACATAGCGAGGCCCCGTCTACAAAAATATTTTAAAATTTGCAGGGTCTGGTGTCGGGCGCCTGTAGTTCCAGCTGCTTAGGAGGTGGGAGGATCGCTTGAGCCCAGGAAATTGAGACTGCACTGAGCTATGATCCCGCCCCTGCACTCCAGCCTGGGAGACAGAGCAAGACCCTGGAAAAGTCTCGCTCAACAAAAGGCAAGAAATAAAAACATGGAGGCTAGACTAACTGATGAAGAGTGGTAACGGCATGAAGAAGTCGTAAAAAAAGGCAGGAGCTGCATTCAGTATATAAGTACAGTTGACGGATGCTGACAGACAGGGATCCTCTGGAGACGAAGCCTCGGCCCCTTCGCTAGTCTCCAGTCTTCCTTTTGCACACTGCAGTTAACATCAACAGCTCTCTGTACCTAGGTAGAGTTACATAAAATATAACTTAAGTTACAATGCTAAAATAAATATGAGCCCATGAGCAGTATCATAGGCCTGATTTTAAAAAATAAAACCTAGGAGAAGGTAGAAATTCCAAAAGCCAACCCAAATCCTGAGTGACAAGGCTGGTGGGTCACCGAGGCAAGAACGAACTAGGGCGAGCTCAGGCCACACCCTCCGGCTCAGGCCCAACGCTTGACATTCGCCGCCGCACTTTCGCCACGCTTTCCCTAGCTCACCCGGCAACCTGGGGGAGGCGGGGCTAAAACCATAAAAGGGGACTGGGGCGGAGCGAGCCGCGTCGTTGCCACGGCAACTCAAAAGCTAGGACCGGGCCTCTGCGGAGCCGGCGTCGCGAACCGACAGATGGCTGCTGAGGCTGGTCCCGGCGCGGTACGTCATCGGCCGCCGCACTTTTGCGACAGAGACGAAACAATCCTAACCTTTACTTAATGGAAGGCTTCGCTTACATCCTGAACTTAAAGTAACTGCAGAAGGGGGCAGAAACGGCTTTCTTTTTAAACAATGCACTGAAAGGTTACCAGTGACAGGGGCGGTTAACAAAGCGCGTGATGTGAACGGCCACGCTACAAGGCTGGAGAGAAACGGGGAGGGGAAGAAGTTTCACCCCGACCGCGAATCCTCGGCCTTTTCTCAGGAGCGCCGCCGCTCGGGATCCGACCATTTGCCTCCAACGAGGGAACAGCGAATCTGCTATCTGTCGCGTACATTCCATAGCAACCACAGGTGGGGCAACAGGAGGAGCGCTTGGGCACGACCATGCGACCCAGCATGAGCCACCGCTTACCCAAAATGAAATCAAATCGGAATCTCCCAATCCCTGCATTCCGGTCACTCCAGCCTTTCCAGACTTGTGGCTGTGCAGCCCCTTTATCTGGGCTCCTGTCCTACTTGGCCCAGCTCCACTGGATTCAGCCCTGGGATAATCACCCTACCATCCCCTAAAGATGACTCCATCCCGTGGGTATGCTTAATTTAAAAAATAAAAACAGGAGCCGAATTTTCCTGGGGTAACTGGTTCTTTAGCAGGAGGGGAGCACTAGGGAGAGTATCTTCAGGGTGGCTGAATTTTGCAATCTCTTTAATAAACAACTTCCCCCTGTGCAGTTTGTCCTCCTTTATCACCCCACCCCGATGCCCGGGTCTTCAGGAAATAGCATCAAGCCCATACTTCTGTAGAGTTCAGAGTTCTGTGAGGTACAGCATTCCTTCTAATGGGATCTTAGAATTCCTAGAGTTGCAGAATTTTGCTGATTGGACCCAGGAGGTCTCAGGAGTCCAGACTTGCTTAAGCCTTGGTTCAAAATTCCACGGGAGCTCATAACTCCGTGGGGCCCAGAGTTCCTGGCTCCAGAACATTGGAAGGCCTGGGATTCAGTGGCTTAGCCTCAAGCGGAAAGGTGAACAATATCTTTATGGCTTAAAGGTATACGAAATAATGTCACTACATCGGAGCAGCGCCTCTGCTTGCACACCTATGGGTGTCTGCAGCTGTGACACGTAGAAGTTGGCCACGTCCAGATCGGTGGCTCCAAAGTGGGCGGCCACATGCACACTCTCGTGCAATGTGAAGCTCACCTGACGACCCACCATGGCCAGCAGGCTTCGGAGGTATCGCTCCCGAAGGGCGGCTCGGGCCCGCTGCTCCTGGGATTCCAGGGATTCTTGAGCTATGGGGCACTCCTGGATTTGAGAAACCTCCGGCTTCAAGGGAGCTCTCCGTCCATCAGGGGCAAAGCCACGGCTGAAGCCATCAGGGCCCCGGGGCAGCCGGAGCACAGGCACAGGAACGGTCACTGGAGTCTGCATTGTCTTGGCTGTTGAGTGAAGAAAAGGGACAAGAAACTATTAAATGGTAAGCATGGGGCTAGAGGAGGAGGGAGGAGTGGAAGTAGAGGCTGGTCTAACAGGCAGCTCCACTTCACCTGTCCCAAACAGATCCCCCTCCTAAAATCTGTGCCAATGCCCCCCAGTGGCTTGGATCAAAAACAAAGTGTCACATGCACAAAAACATGAGTCCCATGAAGGTAAGGACTTTTGTCTGCTTTTATAACAGCTTTATCTCAACTTCCAGGCAATAAATATTTGCCAAAAGATGAACCCAGCCAGGCATGGTGGCTCATGCCTGTAATCCCAACACTTTGAGAGGCCAAGGCAGTAGGATTACTTGAAGCCGAGAGTTTGAGACCAGCCTGGGCAATGTAACGAGACCCCCGTTTCTACCAAAAAAAAAAAAAATTTTTTTTTTTTTTTTTGAGAGTGAGTCTCCCTCTTGCCAGGGTGGAGTGCAGTACCCAATCTCGGCTCACTGCAACCTCCCACTCGCTGGTTCAAGCGATTCTCCTGCCTCAGCCTCCAGAATAGCTGGGATTACAGGCACACGCTACCATGCCCAGCTAATTTTTGTATTTTTAGTAGAGATGGGGTTTCACCATGTTGGCCAGGATGGTCTCAATCTCCTGACCTGCCTCAGCCTCCCAAAGTGTTGGGATTATAGGCGTGAGCCACTGTGCCCAGCCAAAAAAAATTTTTTTACATTAGCTGGGCTACTCAGGAAGCTGACGGAGAAGGATTAGCTGGGCCCAGGAGATGGAGGCTGCAGTAAGCCATAATCGTGCCACTGCACTCCAGCCTGGGTGACAGAGTGAGACCCTGTCTCTAAAAAAAGAACAAACCCCAGCTTCCTCTGTCTCACATACAACCCATCCAATCCATCAGGAAATTCTATCTTTTAGATAGATTCCCATTCACACAGGAGCTAACTTGAAAGGGCTCCCAGTGGCCAAATATGGAATTATTTGAACAATACAATAATGATAGTTACATATTATCACCCGCTAGATAAAACAGAAATTCAGAATCCATAATGATAATAAATAAATGAATAAACAAGGAGGAGAAGGAAAACATATTCCTTATTGTAGACCAGCAAGTAAATAAATATAAAAGAAACAGACGCAAAAATGTGTGGATAGGGCCGGTGTGGTGGCTCACACCTGTAATCTCAGCACTTTGGGAGGCCGAGGTTGGCGAATCACTTGAGGTCAGGAGTTTGAGACCAGCCTGGCCAACGTGGTGAATCCCTGTCTCCACCAAAAATACAAAAGTTAGCCAGGCATGGTGGCGTGCACCTGTAGTTCCAGCTACTCAGGAGGCTAAGGCAGGAGAATCATTTGAACCCAAAAGGCAGAGGTTGCAGTGAGCAAAGATGGCACTCCAGCCTGGGTGACAGAGGGAGACTGTGTCCAAAAAAAAAAAATTGTAGATGAGAGTTTGATGAAGTATAAGGTAGCTACATAGGCTCAACGGACTCACAAGATATTCATTCACTGTAAAGCACAAACAGAAATTTATAGGGGAGAAACCTGATATATACCCCCTTAACTTAGTGATTAAAGCCAACAGCTCCAGGAATGGGACACTAAGAAGGATGGGGCACCACTTCTGTACTATTTCTTTTTTTTTTTTTTTTTTTTTTTAATTTTAAAGAGATAGGGTCTCAGTTGCTAGGCTGCTCTCAACTCCTGGCCTCAAGTGATCTTCCAGCCTCCGGCTCCCAGAGTGCTGGGATTACAGGCATGAACCACCACGCCCAGCCTTTTGTGGTATTTCTGCCAAAAACAGATTACCTGGATATAATTATGAAGAAACTCAAACTGAAGGACATTCTACCAAACAAGGAAAACAGGGATGGATGTGGTGGCTCACGCCTATAATCCCAGCACTTTGGGAGGCCAAGGCAAGAGGATTACTTGCATTCAGATGCTCAAGACCAGCGTGGGCAACACAGTAAGACTTTGTCTTGGCTGAGCGTGGTGTCTCACACCTGTAATCCAAGCACTTTGGAGGCCAAGGCAGGCGGATCACCTGAGGTCGGGAGTTCAAGACCAGCCTGACCAACATGGTGAAACTCTCTTAAAAAAAAAAAA